AAAACAATGTCTTCAATAGATATCATCGATTTGGAGGACGATGGCAACGATTGTCCGCAAAAGTCACCCAAAGTTACCACAAATACGTCCAAAGACTCGGAGACACAGACGGATGGATCCGATGATTGGTTACGGGTTTTAAGTGCAGAAAACAAAAGACTTTTAAATGAGTTATCATTTGAGAGACAATTGAATGAAATGTTGAATAATTTCCGCAAATATTTGTTTGATTTGAAAGTCAATTGCTTTTGCGATCAAAACAAACAGACATTTGTTTTGTTGGATCAGTTGGACATCACTTACAAGACTGTATACAAGACTGTGTCCGCTATAAAGGGTATCATTGGATGCGATGGATATGTGACACAAGAAGCGAGTCGTTCATTGGGTTCACTAATGTTACCTACACTAATAGCCACATATGCTTCCCTAGTTAACCTCTGAGTGTACTTATGTGTATTTGGGATACTTACGTCAGTACTCAGAACACCAGATGCTATGCTTTGTCACCTAATAGAGAAAGCACATGAGCTATGCATTCATAACTGTGTCTCAATAGACAACGAGTCGCAAGAGTTACCACAAAATGATAATCAGTTGAATAAACATAAGAGTGAGTCGATTGAAGAGACAATTGTCTCACCGGTTAAGAAGCGAAGGCTTTCAGCGACTCAAACGGCACCCGAAGAAGATGTGAAGCCATCGCACGAAGACATGAAAAGACTTAAGACTGAAGTGATCAGTGATTTATCAAAACTGGTAAACATTAAGACTGAAGAAACCAGTGGTTCATCACAAGTGGTGACCATTAAGAGTGAAGAAACCAGCGGTTCATCAAAATTGGTGACCATTAAGACTGATACGGATGTACTAAAAACTGAAGACTCGCCTGAAAATGATATAGAAATCATAGATTGTATTGATTTGGCCGACGATTGCGATGATTGTCCACCAAATGGGGCCAAAGAATCTGTTGATCAATTGAAGTGTACGTACGAGTCGTGCCCTCATGTGTCCAAAGATTTCGTAGAGTTTGCCGACCATTGGCTGCAAAGTCACGGCAATCAATACAACACACAAACAGACAGTCATTCGTGTCAGAAGTGCTCAAAACGCTTCCAATCGCTACAAGAACTCGATGTCCACCAGAAGTCGTGCCAAAAGGCGTCCAATAGTCTGAAGCACTGCTCAATCAATGGCTGCAACGAGTTGTTTNGACTGAATGCCATATACGATGCGAGACGTGCCTCTCGTGGCATCGAAATCAAGAGGAGTTATGCAATCACTGGAAGTTCTTCCAGCGCACAGACATAGCCCACATGTGCGGCCAATGCCATCAACTGCTGCTCACCGAACGGAATAATGTGTTGCACCGGCATTGGATACATAAGCGACAGATATTTCGGTGCAATTCATGTGATTATGTGTCGGATTCGTTGACTACAATGAAAAATCATAAGAGTCTCCACGAAATGTGCACCGAAATCGTGCGTAAAATTGATGTCGGATTTCGTTGCAGAGACTGTCGATACAGGTTTCAAAGCGAAGACAATTATCGCAATCATTTAATGACTGTTCACAGGATTAGCCGACTGTCGCTCAAGTATTTGTGCGCAAAATGTCCGCAAAGTTTTCTACAGAGATCTGAGTTAGAGATTCACGAGATTCAGGCTCACTGTGTGTCCACTTCGGGGCCAAATGTTGAGAGGCCTATACAACAGCCCATCCATACGATTAGCACCGGTTGTAATATCTCAGCACTTGTGTCCACACCACAGCCTATCCAGTCATTTAGAACTGGTAGTACTGTGTCAACACGTGTGCCGAGACCTAGACCACAGTCTATTCAGTCGTTTGGCGCCCGTAGTAACGCCTCATCACTTGTGCCGAGGCATAGACCACAACTAATCCAGTCGATTGGCACCGGTAGGAATGTGTCAACACTGGAGACGATAGTTCCCGACAATCAGGGAATGATTGAAGAAAATACTATTGTATTGAATGAACCGCCAAATGATGTGAAATGCAGTGAATGTCAGCAAACCTTTAACTCTGAACTCGGTTTGAAAATACACGCAAACTTTGCGCACAAAACTGTCCACACATTTGACACAAACCTATTGAGTGGACCGAAAGATGAAGTTTTATGAGTTTATCAGAAATTCCTATTTAAACGAGAGTTGACGGCAAGTTTTATCAAGTATTTTGTCTATAAGTTTATTAATACTAATTAATTTTCTATACAAAATCAAATAACGTGTAAATAAATAAATATTGAGTAAATTTATTAAATTAAAAACTTTTGAAATAAAACATTTTTCTAATGTTAAAAAAGTCGAGTATTTTGTGGCACAACTTATGGACGGAAAGTGCATTTGTTTACGATGTGAAGCAATGTTCACATAACTGTAACCCAACTCTCATTTCTGTCAAAAGGTTTTTATTGAACACAAACTCAATGTGAACTCAATTTATGAGGAATTTAGTGGTCATTTGAGTGAAGGTTAATGTCTTCATGAATAGCCACAGACGCAGACATAGCGGTTATGGGAGTGTAGCCGGTGTTGAGGGCACTGACAGACCATATGTCTGCTTATGGCCTGAATGTGGGAAACGGTTCAAAGAGAAGTTGCTTTTCAAACATGTTTTCATACATAAAGGAGTCGTGTATTCATGCGATTGGAAGGACTGTCACTATAAGACTCTCTACACCTTTACCTCACTTTCCATAAAAGGCGTAAACATGGATGTGATTAATGACACCATATTTGCAAATCTGAATTGAATGTCACCATTGGATCCGTTAAATAACTCAAGAAATAGTATAACTTTTGAATCGATAATTTAATTAAACGAACATTAGATACAAAAACTTTGAATAACTCTTATTTAACATAATTTGATGACATATGAGACGACCAGTGGATTATGACAACGCATACCAAACCCTTAATGGGTTTGCTTTTGGTGTTTAGTCCTGCGGTGATGAGTGAATCCCTTGCGAGTGGTGAACACCCGGTGACAGTCGGCGCAGACCTGTTTGCGCTCCCGAATGGGCACGTTATGGGTCGACCACTTATGCAACGACAGCGCCTTAAACGACACGAAATCGCGGCCGCAGTTCTGCACATCACACACGTGGGGAAAGGGATGTTTGGCCGCGTGCCTGTCCAACAGCGCCCCACTGGGGAACACCCGTCCACAGCCCGCATACGTACAGCTATAGCGGCGACTGTGGACTCGGTTCCAATGGCTGCTAAACACCGACGAGTGTCTGGTCTCAAAGCCGCAGTCCGTGGCCTCGCATTTGTAGACGTGATTCACGTGCTTATCGTTCCGGTGCTGAGTGAGAGCGCCGGTATCGCTGCACTTGAACTCGCACTCCTGGCACTCGTACACCAACTGCCGGTGCGTTCTACCCAAGTGTCTGATGAGGTCGGCGTTGGTGTAGTACTCGAGCTGACAGTCGGGGCACTCGTAGGGCTTGAACCCGCGTTTATGCACTTTATTGATGTGTTTCTCGAGCGACTGCTCCTTCAGGAACCGTTCCGTACAGTTCTTATGCGAACAGTTCCACCACTGAGTCAAGTGATGCCGAGTCACGTGTCGCTCGTGAAATGACGGCCAAAAGGTCTGGTAGTCACAGGACTGGCATCTTATGAGATACTCTTTGTGCGCCTTCAGGAGGTGTGCGTTCAGCAACTGAATCGTCTTAAACCTCTCCAGACATTTGTCGCATTCAATGAGTTTGTGGTAATTTCGCACGTGTTTTATGAGCAAAAACTCGTGTTTGAATGCCTTATGGCAGCCCTCCTGAGCGCACAGATACTTCTTGGACTCCGTTTTGGTCACCACTGGACTCGACGACTCCTCGTCCATCACCTCTTCCTCCGGTTCGTCAACAGATCTGACACTTTGGTCAACAATAACCGTCGAGAGAGTAGTGTTGATACTCTTGTGGACACGAGTTCTGTGTTTATTGTTATGTTGAGTGAACTCCTCGTAGGAACCGGTGCTATACGAACACAAATCACACCACAATCGGTACGTCTGTCCGCAATGGACGGAACTGTGGTGTAGTTCCAGTACGTCCTGGTCCTCCACTATGTGTTTGCAGTCAATGCACTCAAAGACATACGAATTGTTCGCCTCTTTAGCCGCTAAAGACTTGTCTGTAAATTAGGATCAAATCAGAGGTTATTTTCAAATAAAATTTGTCTTAATTTATGTCTTTTATACCAAAGTCTGAGCTGTGGTTCGGGTGCTGTTCCGACATATGGCCTCTCATTATACCATTGCTTTGATTGTCTTTTTTAATGCCATACGAACAGTGCATACATTTCAATGGATTAAAGTTCTTGAGTTCATACGTGCGATACACCACTTCCGGGGCAGTGATGGCCGGGTATACTATCATCGATTGGTCTGTACTTCGGACGGGAACTGCATTCAAGACAACTGTGCCATCGCTGGCACTACTGATTGACTCAATAGCTAAAGATAGTTCATTAGTAGGCCTTCCATCGGATCCAGTGGTAGACATTTGAGTGTATCGTTGGGCAGACACAGGGATCAGCTCTTGAGTGGCGTATTTCTGGCGCTTATTGAACACAACCATACCGTCCCTCTGGTGCTGGTGTTTGTGGTCTAACCACGTGTTCAGTTCGGGACACTTGAAGCCACAGTTCCTGTCACTGCACTCGTAGTTCAGGAGACAGTCGTCCGGGCGTTGGATGCGATGGACTTGTCTTTGATGGGCGAACATCTCCTCCGGAGTCAGCACTTGATGGCTGCAAACGTTGCACTGAATACTTGTCACTGATGGACAGGTAGTCACCGATCAGATCCGACAAAAAATATTAGTATTCTTTAAATGTATGGTCAGTTCTGTGGTATCCATACCTCCGGAGACATCAATCGTCGACTGATTCGTCGTATTTGTCGAAACGGTTCTCATTAATGGCCGCAAAAATCGCTGATATCTGTAAAAGTCTTAGAAACACAACGTCTTAATATGTGTTGACATTCATTGAGTCCACAAACGCATGAATACCTGATTTGGTGACAGACTTCACACCCTTTCCCACACATATTCCAGTGATCTTATGGCCATCAATGGTATCATTAATAGATCCGTTATTGTCTGCGAAAGTGTTAATAAAATCAAATCATTTGATCCATAAATGGATTGAGTTTACCATCGATTTCATCACTCATATCATCGCAAACTCTAGTGATTTCCGTAGTTTTCTTCGCGGGTGTCGTGTCTGTGAGCTGTTGTCTCAGTGAGTGGTAAGTCTTGAGGTGTGCGTCGATGTCTGTGCGGATCCGCTGAACCGTTACTGGATTGCAGTCGCCGTCGACCTCTTGTGTCAACTGAATGGCAAAAGTAGTGATGTTTTCGAGACTTTTGATGACTTTCTTCGCGAACATTAAGTCACGGATCAGACGGTTGTTCTCCACTACCAGTGATTCACTCATTCTTGTGGTCAATGACTGACTGTCTGTCTGTCACTCAATGCACACAACAATACAGTCGACGATAACTGCGATAACTGTCACACAAATCGCGATTCAAATGACAATTCATTAGTTTTGTGCCAAAAAAGTCAAAACAAAATCTGTTTGCAATGAAAACATAAACAAAAGTTTTTCCATAAATAATGTGTAAAACTTTGAGTCAAAAAAAGTTTTGGCAGTTCTTATGAAATATCGATTTGAAAATTAAATCAGCTATAAAATCAAGTTGATCTTGGTTTAATTTGTGCTACTTTTATATATTGGTAAATTAATTACATTAATATTATTTACAATAAAATTATTGATACAAAAGTTATGTAATTTTTAACATTTATATTACGACTTGAATAGCTAAACAAATGCACTATATTGATATAAAGTGAATGCATATACAGTGTATAATGTATAATGTACACTGTATATTATACAGAATAAGTAAACAGAATATTCTGTATTCATTTAAATTATGATTTGTAAATAAAGCGTTTAAATATTATTAGATTTGTTTTATTGGTTACAATTAAGTTTAAAATTCCAAACTATTAGATATTCAATAAATTTGTTTAAAATTTGTACTAATTAGTAATTTAGTGCATACAGTACCTAATAGTTTGGCTTTTTCCTAGACTAATAAATTCAATTTCAAATAACCATGCTATAAGTATTCAACAAATTTCAATTAAATCTTTATTTATTTGATCGATAGATACGTGAAAAATACAAAAATAGTTTTATTACATTTCAGAGACTCCGAGAGACTCAACGAAAAAAATTACATTTCAATCGGAAATCTCTACTGTAATAAGAAAAATACAAAACCATTCATACAAATAGGAAATTATATAAAATTTTTAGACATAAATCTTTAAACAAAACTAAATTTTCATACAATTTCTGCACAAAAATCTATTTCAACAGTCATTTCATTCACATTTAGCGCTCTCTTTGCTCTGATGTCTCTTAATATGAGTCCGCATTTGACTCATAAAAGCGGCCCTAAACTGACAGCCCGGCCACTCGCACGTATATCGCCTGTCCTTATGCTGGTTGAGTATATGCGACGCCCGGTCCCCAGCCGTCGCAAACTTTTTGTCGCACTCACCGCACTCTACAGGCTTTTCACCGGTATGTCGGCGCAGGTGTTCACTCATA